AATATGTCTCTATACAGATCCTTGTGTATGGTCTTTAAGGAAATCTAGAAGCATTTCCACCTCATCAGGTTCAAGTGGAGCAACTTTATTCTTTCCAACCCATACTAGATTCCATTGTCAGCACTCATCAAGAACATACTTTTGGACACTCGATAGCATCTTCTGGAAGTGTTCTTTGAGTTATCTGATCTGGTTGGACAGAATCAATCATTGAATTTGGAAGATGAATTTGTTAATAGCATCTTCTGGAAGTGTTCTTTGAGTTATCTGATCTGGTTGGACAGAATCAATCATTGAATTTGGAGGATGCTCAATAGCATCTTCTGGAAGTGTTCTTTGAGTTATCTGATCTGGTTGGACAGAATCAATCATTGAATTTGGAGGATGCTCAATAGCATCTTCTGGAAGTGTTCTTTGAGTCATCTGATCTGGTTGGACAGAACCAATTATTGAATTTGGAAGATGAATGTGTTCATAGCATCTTCTGGAAGTGTTCTTTGAGTTATCTGATCTGGTTTGGCAGAACCAATCATTGAATTTGGAAGATAAATTTGTTCATAGCATCTTCTGGAAGTGTTCTTTGAGTATCTGATCTGGTTTGGCAGAACCAATCATTGAATTTGGAAGATAAATTTGTTCATAGCATCTTCTGGAAGTGTTCTTTGAGTTATCTGATCTGGTTTGGCAGAACCAATCATTGAATTTGGAAGATAAATTTGTTCATAGCATCTTCTGGAAGTGTTCTTTGAGTTATCTGATCTGGTTTGGCAGAACCAATCATTGAATTTGGAAGATAAATTTGTTCATAGCATCTTCTGGAAGTGTTCTTTGAGTTATCTGATCTGGTTTGGCAGAACCAATCATTGAATTTGGAAGATAAATTTGTTCATAGCATCTTCTGGAAGTGTTCTTTGAGTTATCTGATCTGGTTTGGCAGAACCAATCATTGAATTTGGAAGATAAATTTGTCAATAGCATCTTCTGGAAGTGTTCTTTGAGTTATCTGATCTGGTTTGACAGAACCAATCATTGAATTTAGAAGATGAATTTGTTAATAGCATCTTCTGGAAGTGTTCTTTGAGTTATCTGATCTGGTTTGGTAAGAACTACAGAACCAATCATTAGAATTAAAAGATGAACTGCATGATCGTCTTCATTAAGAAGTTTCTTTTCAAGCTTCTTTTGCTTATTCCTTTCCCAAAAATCATAGCACAAGTTTCGCCTTTGCTTGTAACTGGGATCATCACGTAATGGCTTCCCATCTTTTACCGGAAGAAAGCTATTTGAAGTTTCAGCCTCTGAGAATCACATTTTTTGTCAAGTATAACAGTTTATTCTCTTCATCAGAATCAGAAGTCAAGATTTCTCGGTATTAGAAGAACTATCGATATCTGTGAAATCATCTTGAAAGGTCACTTCATAATCAGATGAATTGTTATCAGAATCAACATGTTGCCTGAATACAAGCTTTTCAAGAGCCTATACTATTGAGTTTTATTCTCAAGAGGTTGTGTGACATTATATCTACATCTACATTTGTCAAAAATGATAGATTCTTTGTTTTGAAGAAGAAAGATATATTGGGTTTTTTACAATTGAAGAAATACTCAATTCACCAGTCTGAAATCAAACAACTTAATATTCATGCATCATATTTAGGCATTTGCAAAAATAGATGCATTTTCATTTATTTTTATTCTTGTTGAATTTCTAACAGGAATTTCAAAGATTTTAGCAAAGATTTGAATCCATCATTTGATGGAACAGCTTTTCCAGATAGAGTTCATAATGAGAAGAACTCGTCATCTGAAGAAGGAAGAAGAAATTCATAATGAGAAGAATTTGTTCAACCTTTTACTTGAATCCGTCATTGGATGGATCATCTTTTCCAGTTCGAGTTCATAATGAGAAGAACTCATCTGAAGAAGGAAGAAGAAGTTCATAATGAGAAGAACTTGTTCAACTTTTTGTTTAAATTCATCATTTGATGGATAAACATTGCCAGGTAGAGTTCATAATGAGAAGAACTCGTCATCTGAAGAAGGAAGAAGAAATTCATAATGAGAAGAATTTGTTCAACCTTTTACCTGAATTCATCACTTGATGGATTATTTCTGCCAGGTAGAGTTCATAATGAGAAGAACTCGTCATCTGAAGAAGGAAGAAGAAATTCATAATGAGAAGAATTTGTTCAACCTTATACCTGAATTCATCACTTGATGGATTATTTCTGCCAGATAGAGTTCATAATGAGAAGAGCTCGTCATCTGAAGAAGGAAGAAGAAATTCATAATAAGAAGAATTTGTTCAACCTTTTACCTGAATCCATCATTTGGTGGATCATCTTTTCCAGTTCGAGTTCATAATGAGAAGAACTCATCTGAAGAAGGAAGAAGAAGTTCATAATGAGAAGAATTTGTTCAACCTTTTATATGAATCCATCATTTAATGGATCAGCTTTTCCAGAGAAAGAACCATAATGAGAAGAACTCATCTGAAGAAGGAAGAAGAAGTTCATAATGAGAAGAACTCATCAAGAGTTTATTCAACCTTTTGAATGACTCTATCACAGAAATGAGGTCATCATTATCCCCAGCAGAAAGTTCATAATAAGAAGAACTTATTTGGAGAGAAAGAAGAATTTATTCAATATCTCCATTATGATCAAAGCAAAGTCAAATGGATAAAAAATTTTATTATCTTTTCATCTTTGCCCTATTCTTGTTAACACAAGAATGAGCAAAGAGGGGCAGCTGAAGATACTAATTTTTTTATCCATATTATTATTATTATTATTATTATTTTTATTATTATTATTATTATTATTTTTACTATTATTATTATTATTATTATTATTATTATTATTATTATTATTATTATTATCATTATTATTATTATTAAATATATATTAAATAAATAATAAATTACAGACCAATTACAACTGGACCGGCCCAGTTACAAACCAACCAGAACCGGTCCAAATCCAACCAGAAACCCTAAATATTTGGGTTTCCAGTTAGGGTTTCCTAACCCTAATATGATCAGCCGCCTCAGCTCACAGCCGTTGGATCTGATAAGATCCAACGGTCCAGATGGTGCCAGAGGGAAACCCTAGGGTCTGATACCCTAGGGACACGCGGCCGCCGTTGCTATCTCGCCGCCTCCGCCGCTGCCACGTCCCAACCGAAGACTCCAGAAGATCATATACCAGCCGTCCACGCCATGGCCACTCGGTGAGTCACCACTGGTAGTCCGGTGACTCACCGAGAGCCCTTCTTCGGACTGGTCCGACAGCTACAACGGTGGTGGCTATAAAAGCCACCACCCCACCTGCGAAAGAAGAGACAGAGACAGAGACAGAACCGGAGAGAAAAAAAAACAGAGAAAAGAAAAAAAAAACACTAATACCAACGATCTCAGCAGCAAAGAACCAGAAGAGAAAAAAAAAAAAAAAGGAAGAAGAGACTTACCGAGGAAGCTCCGACTACCAGATCTCACCGGAACCTTCGAAACAACGAAGGTACTTTTGTAGATTTGCTCCGATTGGGAGCCTTTTAGGAAGAAATAACACCGGAACCGTCCTTAGGACGGTCCGATCTATATATTAGTGTAAAAATCTTTTTTTCCGGCCACCGGATGCGGTGGCCGGCGGTGATGGTCACGGCGGCAGACGGTTGCCGTCCGGTGACCGGCTTCCCTCCGATGAGGGAAGCTAGAGAGAAGGCAGAGAGAAATTTGTTCTCTCTCAGTTAGAGAGAGAACAGAAATGATGAAATGAAATGGTTGGCCCTTCGGGCCAGCCGGTTTGGACCATTTATAGTCCTTCCCGAACGACGTCGTTTCGGGAAGGACTATGCGCGTAATTATGAAATAGTTAAACCCCGTCCGCAGTCCTCCGAATTTGTAAAATTTACATTTTAGTCACTAAATTGAATTTATAATAATTTTAATTCAGTCTTTGAATTTTAATTTTATTCATTTTAGTCCTTTTTATTAAAATAATATATTTAGGATAAATAGCAGATTTAATCCCTTAATTTTAATAAATAAATTTTTTATCCCTAGTTCATATTTTTAATTAATTTTATTATAAAATTCGAATTTTAGATAATTTCATTTTGGTCACTAAATTATTAAATTAGAAAAATAAAATATTTAATCCCTATAATTTCAATTAATTAGGAATTAGATTTAATTTTATTTTTATTATAATTTAGTTATTTATTTTATATGTTTTAATTTAACTGCTTAAAATACATTGTTTTAGTGATATTTTTTTATTATATGGTTAAATATTTTTATATATTCATAAATATATAATAAATAATAATTTTTAAATATTTATTTTTAATATCGAAGAAAAAGACAGTCTTAATACAACTGGATGTCCTATTCTGATATTTTAAAATTAAAAAGTAAACAATATTATTTAAATTAATATTTATCAATATCAAAGAAAAGAGCTGTCTTAAGGCACCTAGAAGTTCTTTTCGGATATTTTTAAATAAATATAATTTTGAAAATAATAGAATTATAAATTAAATATATTTTTGAATTTTTTAAAATTTTAATAATAGAGACAATTTATAATTGAAAAGTACCAATTTTGGGCGTTGTAGGGGTGCTAATCCTTCCCTAAACGTAACCGACCACGAATCCCTTTTTATTACTAAAAAAGAACGAATTTTTGGTTATAAACGCAGATCAGTTTAATTTTTTAATTGATGTTTTCTTTAAACTCTTTTAAAAGATATTTTTTAGGTATTCGACCTACCTGACCCAAAAGGTCGATGGCGACTCTCAAATTATTTGCAAAATTATTTATTCACATCAATTTCCCCGCCAAAATTTAATATTTCGTGCCCGGACGAAAACCGGTTACGACAGGTTTCATCCGAAGAATCACAGACCCCGTAACTTAAAGAGGGTTCTCATATATCGACAAACCCTCTTAGAGTTCGTGAGCAGTTTATCACAAGCCATCAGCCAAATAAATATTCTCACTCTTGGCAACCCTTTAAAATTAGCAATGTTATTCCAAATATTATATACTGAAACATGTTTCGGATACGCAGCTCATACGCCAACTTCATGGTGAATATCCGGTTCGATTTCCACTTCCACCCAAAACCATCGATCACATGAACTCTAGGCAGAGTCATAAGGGCCATCAATCTGTGAATAATTTCCTCAGAAAGAATATTATAAACCTTAGGCCAATCCCACTCTCCATGTTCGTCGATCATGTTCGCAACCATGGTTTCCGATAAAGCCGCTGTCACATTTAGAGCAAATATATAATCACGCAGTGGACCAACATCTCCTAACTTCGGATGTCATACCACCAACTCGTACCCGACCCGAATACAAGTATGAGGTGTCACATTGATTTTTTAAACTTTGACTCTTGACGAAAATCAAGGAAATTTTAAACTTTCATTAAAATAAAAGTTGTTACTTTACAGAAGTTGACCAAAACAATACAAAATCGATCCGAGCATTCGTAACTAACACATTTTTTACATGCCAACACGCTATACACAACAAAATACATACTTTATCAGTTACTTCTTATATGACCTTCTAGTAGTGACGATGTCCTTGCCACTCCTATTTCTGCTCTTCTTGATCCTTGGTACCTACGTGTAAATCACTTACACGCTAAGTCATAGACTTAGTGAGGCATAATAATAAACACATAACAATAATATCTTGAACATGTACTACTATCAATTCATTATGACATTGCAATGCACATGTAGATACTGCATTATGACATATATAAATATGATATGCATGAATGAATATTTATGTCTCATAAGAGTTTTCCTTTAATTTATCTTTGGATGCCCATATACATTATTGAGAACAGAAGGTACGTGAGTACACTGAGGTTGTGCACAATGTTGTCACCATAGCTCAAATAAAATCCCACTAGGGGCACTGAATATTTGTCCCGAAGGACCACTGATAATCCCTCGACTCTTGGCATGCCAATTATACATACAACTCTTATATTAAATAACATGAGCTTAAATATGAATACACTTCTCATTTTCATGTCTATTTTATCACTTTTCATATAAACACATAATTCACTTCATATGCACTCTTATGATCACTTTCATTATTTCACATACCTGGATTGATTCTCTTATCATGGTATTCATTTATACAATATCTTATTAAAGCATGGATGAATTATGCATGAAATCACTAACCGTAATATACATATATATGTATGTACATGAATATAAAATCATAAATTTAACTATAAGAGATAGACTTATCGCAAGTCTTATCTCCATACAATTCTACCTAGGGTATGCACTCACCTTAGCCTTGTTTGATTTGACTCGATCCTAATCCTTAGATTGTTCCGGAATAGGATTACATTCAATATCTACATAATGATATATGGATACATATCAGTATTCTAATTGGCATACTTTAATCTTTCATTTCTTATGCTAAAGGAAAGGTAATTTCATTTCTTATTTAAAGTAGGTATCGGTACCCTCTATAGGGTATCGATACATCCCTCAACTGAGGTATCGATACCCCTTATGTATCGATACCCTAATTGCATTATATAAAATTTTTGCTCAAAAATGGTATCGATACCTTCCTTAAAGTATCGGTACCCCTAGGTATCAATATTGTTCTTCAAGGTATCGGTACCCTTTGAATTCCTTCTTAAATTTTACTTTTGAGGTATCGATACCTGTTGAATGGGTACCGATACCCCTAGCCCAGAAATCACATTTTCAACACGAAAATTACTTCATTTCAGCTCAATTACTTCATATACCTTCCCCTTTAATATTCTTAACTAACATATACATGCTTAGCCTCATTAATATTCATTTATCCCATCTTTAACCTCAATATCCTCTCATCTTTATGAAATTCAAGAATCATACTCAAATTTCAACATGTTCTAAATTCAATTCTAGCACTTCTTATGTCTTAACTAGATTGATGACAAGTCAAATTTAACTTCCAATTTGAATTATGAACTCCATTCCATAATTCCATTTATGAACTCCTAATCTTTAATCCTTCCTACACCCTTAATCTTGTTGTTTTAAAACAAATTAAGCTTTCCTTAAGCTTAATTTCCATCTAATGATCATAAACCAACCTTAATTTCAGCTAAAAAAACTAATAAGAATCTTACCTTTGGCTTGGTTATCACGTAAGAAGGAAGATGAAGAAGAGGAGAACTCTGGAAACTTGTGTGTGTTTCCCTCTTCACTCCACGTGGGTTAATATAATCCATAACCAAATTTAATTATTTCCTTGTAAATGACCATTTTGTCCTTCAATTCTTCATTCTTTATAATTTGATCCTATACAACATTTCCCCATATAAGTCCTTAACTATTCAATTATTATACTTTAATCACCAAATTCTAAAACTTTGCAATTTAGTCACTAACCCGGTATTGAGGATGTTACACATCTCCCCCTTAAGAAAATTTGTCCTCGAATTTTCATTGTGCAAAGAGATGGGGGTATTGATTCTTCATGTCTTATTCACGCTCCCATGTTGCTTCCTCTACTTTGTGATTCCTCCATAAGACTTTAACCAATGGAATAGTCTTGTTCCTTAATTGTTTAACCTCGTGAGCTAAGATTTGAATCAGTTCTTCCTCATAAGTCAAATCCGGTTGAACCTCAATCTCTTCTATTGATACGATATGGGAGGGATGATATCGATACTTCTGAAGCATTGAAACATGAAAGACATCGTGAATCTTCTCCATTTTAGGTGGCAAAGCCAGTTGATATGACATTGGTCCAACTCTTTTAATGATCTCTTAAGGTCCAATGAATCTAGGACTATATTTTCCCTTACGTGCAAACCTCAAAACTTTTTTCCAATGAGATACTTTTAAAAACACTTTGTCTCCAACTTGATATTCTATCTCCTTCCTCTTTAAATCCGCATGTGATTTCTATCTATCAGATGTTGCTTTGAGGTTATTATGTATCACTTGGACCTTTTCTTCCACTTCCAGGATCAACTCAGGACCAAGAACTTATTTGTCTTTAAGCTCAAACCAATTCAGGGGCGTACGACATCTTCTTCTATAAAGAGCTTCATAAGGTGCCATTTTGATACTTGATTGATAACTATTATTGTATGCAAACTCGGCAAGTGGCAAATACCTTTCCCACGATCCCTTGAATTCTATTACACAGGCTCTTAGCATATCTTCCAGAATTTGGATAGTTCGCTCATACTGTCCATCTGTCTGAGGATGGAATATTGTATTGAAGTTCAGTCGAGTGCCTAATGCTCCATGCAAGGTCTTCCAGAATCTCGAAGTAAATCGAGGGTCCCAATCAGAAACTATGGAAACAGGCACTCCATGCAATCTAATGATCTCTCTAATATATAACTCAGCGTATTTATCCACTGAGAAATCAATCCGCACTGAAATGAATGAGCTGACTTAGTCAATCTATCTACGATCACCTAGATTGAATCTCTTTTGTTTGGAGTTAAAGGTAACCCCACTACAAAATCCATCGTTACATTCTCACATTTCCATTGAGGAATAGATATTGGTTGCAACAGTCCCGACGGAACCTGATGCTCAGCTTTGACTTGCTGACAAATCAAACACTTAGATAAATCAAACACTTAGATACATATTGCGTAATGTCCCTCTTCATTCCAGGCCACCAATATTGACTCTTGAGATACATATACATTTTTTTCCCTCCAGGATGCATAGTCAATGGACTACAATGAGCTTCCGTTAATAATTATTTCTTCAATTCATCGTTATCCGGAATTACCAATCTCCCTCGATAATACAAGTTCCCATCAAACTTGATCTCATAGTCTTTATCTCCTCATTCTTCACTTGTTGCAGCTTCTTCAAACACATTTCATCTTTACTTTGTAATTTCTTAATTCGATCTAGCTATGATGGCTTAAGAGTTAATTCTGCACAGATTGCACCATCTCCACTTAACGATAGTCTGGCATCCATAGCTCGTAAGGATGAGAACGTCTTTCGAATTAAGGCATCTGCTACCACATTTTCTTTCCCCGGATGGAAATCAATTACCACATCGTAATCCTTAAGAAATTCCACGCATCTTCTCTATCGTAAATTCAACTCCTTCTGAATCATTAAGTATTTCAAACTCTTATGATCTGTATACAAGTAGCATCTTTCACCATACAAATAGTGATGTTAGATCTTAAGAGCGAACACTACTGCATCCATTTGCAGATCATGCGTTGGATAGTTCATCTCATGCAGTTTTAATTGTCTCGACGCATAAGCTACCATTTTGCCCTCTTGCATCAATACACATCACAAACCATTATGGGCCATATCACTATACACTACAAAGTTCTTGCCAAATTCAGGTTGGACTAACACTGAAGATTTTGTCAAAATCTTCTTTAACTTTTCAAAACTTTCCTGGCATTCCAGAGTCCGAGCAAATTTAACGAACCTTCGGTAATAACCAACTAACCCCATAAAACTTTGAACTTGTGACACATTCTTTGGAACTTCCCACTCTAAAATGGCTTTAATTTTTTGAGGATCTACTCAAATTCCTGCTGCAGAAATTACATGTCCAAGGAACGTCACTTCATTCAACCAGAATTTACATTTAGATAGCTTCGCATAAAGCTTATTTTCTCGTAATACACTAGAATATCGTCAATGAACACCACTACGAATTGATCCAAATAGGGTTGGAATATTCTGTTCATGAGATCCATGAAAGCACCTGGTATATTCGTAACTCCGAATGGCATCACGATAAACTCATTGTGACCATATCTCGTTCTGAATGCCGTCTTTGGAATATTTTTATCTTGAATATTCAATTGATGATAACCAGAACGTAAATCAATCTTTGAGAACACTGAAGCTCCTTTTAATTGATCGAACAAATCATTAATTCGGCGAAGGGGATACTTGTTCTTGATGGTCACTTTATTGAGCTGCCTATATTCAATGTAAAGACGCATAGATCCATTATTCTTTTTGACGAACAAAACTGGAGCTCCCCATGGCGAGAAACTCGGTCTTATAAATCCTTTATCCAACAGCTCCTGTAATTGTATCTTTAACTCTTGCAACTCCTTTCGAGCCATTATGTATGGTGCCATTACAATGGGCGTTGTTCCTGGCATTATTTCGATCTGGAATTTTACTTCTCTATCCGGAGGCAAACCTGGTAACTCTGCAGGATATACATCGGGAAACACTCTAACTATGGGAATTTCCTCAATCCCCTTCTCTTTGGCTTTAACATCCAACACATTAGCAATAAACCCCTGACATCCTTGTAGTAGTAATTTTTTGCCGATATCACTGAGATTAAATTTGCCAATGGATTCTACCCTACACTAAATATCACGATTTCTACCCCTTCCGGACTTCTCAATGTTACTCTTTTTACTCTACAGTTGACATTAGCGTAATAAAAATATAACCAATCCCTTCCCAGTATTACCTCAAATTCATTGAAGAGTAATTACATCATATTAGCAGGGAATTCAATTCCCTAAATCCGTATGGGACACCCTCGACACACCCTATTGACCCGAGCACTGTGCTCTAAAAGGATTAGTCACTATCACTTCACTACTAGTAGCTTCTAACTGAATATTCAATTCTCTCACTAACTTATTATAAATGTAAGAATATATAGACCCTGAATCAATCACTACAAAAACATTCTTGTCATACAACTGAAAAATACCTGTTATAATCTCTGGGTCAACTCGATCCTCACTAGTTTTGAGATTATACACCCGAGCTGTAGAGCGTATCTCTTGTGGAGTCGAGGACTCTGACTGACCTTTTCCTCTACCTCTTCCCCTCTGAGTAGCAGAAATAGACCTCTCTGGCTGTGCAGATGCACTAGCTATCATAGGACAATCTCGAACAAAATGTCACGTGTCTCCACATTAAAAGCAGGCTCCAGAAATCATCATGTATATCCCCGAGTGATTCTTTCCACAATGTGGACATTGTCTGACTTGACTCGGGTTAGATCTCCCAGCTCCAGATCCCACTGACTTGTCTGTCATCCCCTCATCGGATTTGTTCCTCTCACGAAGGCCACTGACTCCGATCTAGCTGGAGGTCGAGAACCAATATCTCGACCCTTTTTTATGGTGCAAAACTCGAGGACGCACCTGTCCTTTTAGACATCTGAGCTCTTGAATCTCCAAGCCTCTCATTTTAAGCCCTTTCCAGAGCTTTGGCATGGTTCATTACTTCTTGAAACGAAGACAAATTCAATACAATCAACATTTCTTTCAATCTTGAATGCAGACCTTCTATGAACCACTCACAACCATCTTTCTCAGTTGGAACAAGCTTGGCAGTAAAGCGGCTCAACTTATTGAATTCAAACTCGTATTCATATACAGTGCGATTTCATTGCTTTAGATTCATAAAATCTTGCTTTATTTGTTGGATGAATTGATCTCCGATGTATTTATCCTTGAATTCTTCTAAAAATAATAACCAATTTAATTGCTCACCAAATATTCTCAATGTAACGTTAGTCCACCAAATCCTTGCTTGCCCTCTCAACAAGGAAACCACTCCATCGAGCTTCTCAGCATCAGAACAATAAAGTCCCTAAAGCATGATTTTCACGTCATTAAGCCAAAGGTCCGCAACAACAGGACCTTCTTCGACTTCACCTCTAAACTCTGGTTCTCCTAAACCCTTCAACTCCTTTGCAACATTCATTCTCAGAGTTGAAGTAACATAAGGTTGGAAGCGCGCCAATACCGCATCTAACGTCCTAAAGAACACACCATAGTCAGCTACAGGCACTCCAGAAGATGCATGTTCTTCACCTTACCTGGCCAGGACAGGTAAATTACTGCTCTCAGTGAGACTATCGTCTCCCGCTTCACTTCTAGAACTATCATGTCTGGACATCTATAAAAACATAACCATATCGATCTATTAGCAACATATCATACTTATTATTATATCAGATAAGAAGTTTTCACTATATTGTTAGCATGTATATATTTTAAGACACTCTAGATTTCGGTTTATGCCGAGAATCGATTAAACTGTAGCTCTGATACCATTAAATGTCACACCCCCAACCCATACCCGACCCGGATAGTAGTATGAGGTGTTACATTGACTTTTCAAACTTTGACTCTTGACGAAAATCAAGGAAATTTTAAACTTTCATTAAAATAAAAGTTGTTACTTTACAGAAGTTGACCAAAACAATACAAAATCGATCAGAGCATTCGTAACTAACACATTTCTTACATGCCAACACGCTATACACAACAAAATACATACTTTATCAGTTACTTCTTCTCTGATCTTCTAGTAGTAATGTTGTCCTTGCCACTCATATTTCTGCTCTTCTTGTTCCTTGGTACCTACGTGTAAATCACTTACACGCTAAGTCATAGACTTAGTGAGACATAATAATAAACAAATAACAATAATATCATGAACATGTACTACTATCAATTCATTATGACATTGCAATGCACATGTATATACTACATTATGACATATATAAATATGATATGCATAAATGAACATTTATGTCTCATAAGAGTTTTTCTTTAATTTATCTTTGGATGCCCATGTACATTATTGAGAACAGAAGGTACGTGAGTACACTGAGGTTGTGCACAATATTGTCACCACAGCTCGAATAAAATCCCACTAGGGGTACTGAATATTTGTCCCGAAGGACCACTATGTCCCGAAGGACCAATATGTCCCGAAGGACCACTGATAATCCATCGACTCTTGGCATGCCAATTATACCTACAACTCTCATATTAAATAACATGGGTTTAAATATGAATACACTTCTCATTTTCATGTCTATTTTATCACTTTTCATATAAACACATAATTCACTTCACATGCACTCTTATGATCACTTCCATTATTTCACATACCTGAATTGATTCTCTTATCATGGCATTCATTTATACAATATCTTATTAAAGCATGGATTAATTATGCATGAAATCACTATAACCGTAAATATATATATATATATATATATATATATATGCATGTACATGAATATAAAATCATAAATTTAACTATAAGAGATAGACTTATCACAAGTCTTATCTGCATACAATTCTACCTAGAGTATGCACTCACCTTAGCCTTGTTTGATTTGACTTGATCTTAATCCTTAGATTATTCCGAAACAGGATTACGTTCTATATCTATATAATAATAATACATGGATACATATCAGTATTCTAATTGGCATACTTTAATCTTTCATTTCTTATGCTAAAGGAAAGGTAATTTCATTGTTGATTTAAAGTAGGTATCGGTGCCCTCTATAGGGTATCGATACATCCCTCAACTGAGGTATGGTATTCTCTAGGTATCGATACCCTAATTACATTCTGCAAAATTTTCGCAAAAGATGGTATCGATACCTTCCTTCAGGTATTGGTACCCCTGGTTATCGATACTGTTCTTCAAGGTATCAGTACCCTTTGAATTCCTTCTTAAATTTTACTTTTGAGGTATCGGTACCTGTTGAATGGGTATCGATACCCCTAGCCCAGAAATCACATTTTCAGCACGAAAATTACTTCATTTCAGCTGAATTACTTCATATACCTTCCCTTTCATATTCTTAACTAACATACACATGCTTAGCCTCATTAATATTCATTTATCCAATCGCTAACCTCAATATCCTCTCCTCTTTATGAAATTCAAGAATCATACTCAAATTTCAACATGTTCTAAACTCAATTCTAGCACTTGTTATGTCTTAACTAGATTGATGACAAGTCAAATTTAACTTCCAATTCGAATTATGAACTCCATTCTAAAATTCTATTTTTGAACTTCTAATCTTTAATTCTTCCTACACCCTTAATCTTGTAGTTTTAAAACAAATTAAACTTTCCTTAAGCTTAATTTTCATCTAATGATCATAAATCAACCTTAATTTCAGCTAAAAAGCAACTAATATGAATTCTTACCTTTGGCTTGGTTATCACGTAGGAAGAAAGATGAAGAAGAGTAGAACTCTGGAAACTTGTGTGTGTTTCCCTCTTCACTCCATGTGGGTTAATATAATCCATAACCAAATTTAATTATTTCCTTGAAAATAACCATTTTGTCCTTCAATTCCTCATTCTTTATAATTTGATACTATACAACATTTCCCATATAAGTCCTTAACTATTCAATTATTATACTTTAATCACCAAATTTTGAAATTTTACAATTTAGTCACTAACCCGGTATTGAGGATATTACATGGGATCTCTCCAAAAGTCAATATGTAACCCATCTCCAACCGTCCATACAAGGCTTGACCGAACATCTTGCATACTAACCTCACTCCCTTCTAGAGACGGGAACAATTTCTCCGATTAATGTCAATAGGCCCCATTCCTTCCCACCTATACTTCGAATATAAAACTTGTGTCCATAACTGATTTGGTTTGGACACAATAATGAACGCAATTTTCACGATAAATTCATCATTTTGTTTCTCTAAGTGCTTGAAGCAAATACCACCCTCGAAAATAGGAGTGCAGACAGTATTCCAATTAACCAAGTTAATCCTATTGCCTAATTCAAACCTTCCCCAAATGAAGCCTATAATAATCTTTTCAATCTCTCCACAAACATCTTTCGGAATTGTAGCGGTTTGCATCGAATAGTAAGAAATTGCCATCAATACCAACTTTGCCAAGGTAATTATCCCAGCAATCGATAATTTTTTTGCCACCTAACCAGCAAGGCGATCCCGAACCTTTGGAACTAATATTGGTAAGTAGCTTTTGTGACCCGACCATAGATCCAAGATACTTTCCAAAATCATCTACTTCCAAGAAGTTACAATTTGATTTTACCTGCGCTCTGCAATGATGCTCCACGTTCTTGGAAAACAAAATGCTAGTTTTTGCAATAATTACTTTTTGACTCGATGCATCGCAAAACTCATCCAAAATCTTCATAATGTTCATAAATTGATCCTCTGACGCTTCGACAAATATCAGAAAAGATGTGGGATTTCTGGGCCTTTGCGAACAAGCTGAATTGGTTTCTGCTCGCCACTCACTACACTCTTTTGAATTGCTTGACCTAGTTTCTCAATACACAACACAAAGAGATATGGAGAAAGCGGGTCTCCCTGTCGGATGCCTCTTGTTGATTTAAAAGGTACTGACGCTACCCCATTCCAAAGATCCTGTGTGGATACAGTTGAAACACAACGCATAATCAAGCTACGTAAGGAATCCGGTAAACTAATGTCCTTGAGCGTGTCATCAATAAACCCCCATTCAAGCTGATCATAGGCTTTCTCTAAATCAATCTTGATCACCATAAAGCCTTTCTTCCCCTTTTTAGTTCGCATGGAATGCATCACCACCTGTGCTATAATTATATTCTCCATGATTGCTCTCCTAGGACAAAACTTGTTTGATTATGAGAAATCCAAGTAGAGAGATTGTTTCAAGCGATTGACAATAGTTTTTGTAATTATTTTGTATACCCCTGAACATAGGCTGATCGGACAGAATTGAACAAACGACTCAGGAGCTTTCACCTTTGGGATTAACACAAGTAATGTATGATTTAAAGCTTTGTCGATCGTAGCCCCAACAAACACTTTCTTCACCAAACAACAAACACTCTACTTTACAACCTCCCAATTATGTTGGTAAAGGAGAGCATGGAGGCCATCCGCTCCAGGGGCTTTCAAAGGACACATTTCAAAAAGTGCTTGTTTAATCTCCACATCAGTAACTGGTCAACTCATTGCCCGCAAAGATTCTGGTGGAATAATAGGAAAGTAGCCTCTGATATTGTATCCCGATCCATCCTTCCCAGAACTTGAGAATGTCTTTATAGAAGTCCACGGCTAAATTCCTCAACTATTCCTGGTCTGAACACCAACTACTATAATGAAGTTTAAGGGCCTGAACATAATTTGCTCTTCTTCGCTGCATAGTACTGGCATGAAAGTATTTAGTGTTTCTGTCCCCATAAAAAAGCCATTGTTGTCTCAATTTCTGAAAACACAAGCTTTCCCCCTGAGTAAGGACTTCCTCTAGCTCTTTTATTATTTTCGACTCCAAACCCACCAGCCTTTCCGAATAATTTTTTCGTAAGGCTCTATCAATGCCGCTAATACGAGCTAGAAGATTTTTTTTCCGTTGTCTAATATGACAAAATATGGAAGTGTTCCAATCCACCACTTCCGATTTAAACA